TTTACCTTAGGAGCCATCAGATTTCAGTTGCGTGCTCTGAAATAACTGCTGATGGCAATAAACAGACTCACAAGGTGGAAGTTTGTTTCTCAAGAAGTTTACTTTTTATCTGATAGGCATTGGTAAATTATTTTTTTTTCTCCACTAATTAATGATCCAGCTGTTTACAGGGACAATTCACTGTGCTGGTATTTTGGTGGCAACCACTGCTACAGGCTTTCAGACTTGCTGAAATGAAAATCCTGCATACACATTTGTAAGGCATAATAAAACATAACATTAAAACCTGCATGCATGTTATGTTTAATCAAAGACAACTCTTAGGCATTTAAGTGGTGAGATATCTTACTTTAGGTTAGTTAAACTGGTAGTAAAATGATTAATATAATCTGATCTCTTTCTAATAATAATAATAATAATAAATAATAATAAAACACTCATGATTCTAAATAAAAGTTGTTTGGCCTAAATCTTTGCTATCAGAAAAGAGATATAGCATATCTGGGAACTCAAATTTATGTCTTGCATTGTGATAATTCTTTATGAGAAACTGTGTTTTAAAACAAACTTAATTACAATATACAAGATATCCTTGGCAATGGGTAGTCCTCAATAAAACAGAGTTTCTTGAATTTTCAGTTTTTGGTCTCAAATGATTAGTGTGTTCTCCATGTAATAACTTAGAAATCAGACTGAAAACAAATGACATTTATCTCTTCTAAGGCAAAAGAGTGAAAGAAAATAGATACACTGAAGTGCTCTAGCCTAGCCATTCACTATCCTGCTATCAAAAATCCGGTTTTGGGCTAGGGTGATGGAGTAAGTTGATCAGGTTCTAAGTCTTAAAACTGAGCCAAAATTCTCTTAGTAATTCTTCACGCTATCATGAGAGTCTGGGGACTTGTTCTTCCAGTCCCTTTCTTCTGATATGCATCCTTGTTTATTAAAGTGATAATAGGCAGTGTCATTAAACATTTGTGCTTTACAGATGTTCAGTGAGTTATGAACGATTATGGTCAAATGGGCTGTATTTAGTTTGCATTGTAATAAGGTCTGTGTCTCAGCCTACAAAAGTTTTGACTTGCGTATATTTTTGGAAGATGTTTTTAAAATTACCATTTAAAATATTAGTCAAGGATAACTGATTTAAAGGATCCAAGTATAGAGCAGTCAGGCATATTTTAAAAGAGCAACAGGTCTACTTTAGTCAAAGAATATAATACCCACTCAGAAGTATATCTTTTCTTTCTTCCAGATGGGAATTATACAATACTATATCAGAGGAATATTTTGAGTGAAGGTATATGGTGCAGGGAGACAATTTTTGTCCAGACAGTTGAGTTTCTTTTATTTCAGAGTTTATTGTTGCATATTGCTCAAGGAAAAATTAGGTAGTGTTCTGTTTAAGCCACTACACTGTTAGGGCTGAAGTTTGATGCTGTTGAATGCCTAGGCTCCTGCTGATCTCAGTGAGAGTAGAAAACAATCTTCTAATCATGAAAAATAGCATCTGCTAAGCTACTCTCATATTTTTTGCTTTTGTCATATCTAATAATATTCATACCTTCTGTTTCTCTTTCCTTTTATTTTTTAGTGTACACAGGAATCCTTGTTGACATGCTAGAGCAGTCCTGTTGCAGGCTTAGTATCTCCTGTGGCCTTTTTTTCCACATTCTTTGCATTTGTCTCTGTACAATACTACTCTAAGTGTAATAGGACTCAGTGATAGAAGGGAGAAAAATGAGCTTTTTTTATGTGGAAAGACAATTTACTTGGTAACACTGAGGATGTCAACTCAATGTAAAACCTAATCAAACATGATGATTCTTTTTAATTCTAAAGTGAATGTTTTTGTAAACTTACCATTTTTCCCCTCTTGTTTTTATTATGTTTTTCTTCTCTTCCTTTGAAAAGAACGACAACTAAGAAATACTTTCTTCCTTTAAGTGTGGTCTTTTACAAATGTGGTAGAAAGACTCATTCCAATCATCCTTTAAGTGCTACATGCTCTTTAGGCATTCGCTGTCGTTCAGATGAAACTTCTTCAAGTCTACTGAATGTGATTTGCATGCGTGCAGTCTGACCCTTCACTCATGCCTGTTTGAGGAAAGTGCAACTCTGTTGTTACACCAAGGTAAACCTGGTGTGGGGTCAAAGTCAGGGCCATATAATTTTTAGGTGTTTAATATTCAACACAGTTCATGAAGTTCCTTTTTACATCTTCACAACTGTTGCCTAGTAAGGCCTTAAACCTGCACTGGTTAAAAAAAAAATTCTCATTGAGCTTAATGGGAGTTTTTGCCTCAAGGGCTGCTGGCAGGATAGGTGTCTTAGTTCCTCCTAACCTTCATTTGTAAGCATGTCCAGGAAAAAAACAAACAACAACAACTTAATACAATGAGTTGCCTTACATTTTCCCCTACTATATAGTTGTATTTCTTTGATGTATTTCCTTTCCCCTCACCCACATCGAAGGCTGTGATTGTTTTCGTTTTTCTTAATTTTTTTGCACACTACCTATACCAATTAACTGCCTAATTAGTTTTATCTTCTCTACATGGATGCAGTGAATTTGTAAGAGAATTTCACAAGCAAGTAGTTTTTTAGTGAGTTTAAAGTAAATAGAGTTTTAAAGACCTATTTTTATATTCAATATAAAGCACAAACGTGCAGAAAGTGTAGAATGACTTACAAAAAGGGAAACAAAAGTTCGTAATATTTCATGTATAAAAGTAATACCTTCTTTGGGTTGAGATTCTCTTAGAAAACCCAATACTTATGCCAGTGCAAAGATAGGAATATTTTAAAAACTCTTAGAAAATTGTGATTGACAGCAATTTCAAAGGAATGACTTCTATAGATACAAGGAAACCCCTAAAGCAATATGGATAAGAAGGGGTGAATGGTTTTCAATGATGAACAACAACCTGGAAGTGTGAGAATGGAGGTTTCAATCCTTATTAATTAATCAAATTTCTTCTTTTGTGGTTGGCTACAACATCTGGATTTTCTGTGAAGTGCAATCTTGCAGGATGAAAAAGCGCAAGGACGCCAAACTTTTAAGACTTGCGAATACTCAGAAGCAGGTCTGATTTAGAATTATATGTCGTTAATTAGGGCTTTGGATTTTGGTAATTCCCACTTCCAAGAAAATTGAAACACCTATTTATCGCTTGAAGAAATTTGATCAAATAATAATGATTAATCCAGGAACTCCCATTGTCACAATTTGTTTTTGTTTCCATCGTCCTGCTTATCTCCAAAACCAACTTGCCTCAACTCCTGGCGAAGCCAGGGAGAAGAGTTATATGCCATTGTTAGTTCATTTACAATTTGTATCTGGTTTTGCTCTTGTACATATGTTGGCGTTTTGGAGTCTTTACATAAATGCTGTGATACTTTTTTTTTTCTTTCCTTTTATTTTTTTGGTGGGCTGTTTTAAAATGGAGGCCTGTTTTCCAGTGTGGGACTTTTGATGGTTACAACATTTCAATGATGTTGCATGATGGCCACAGGTGGGGGAAATTGAATGTTTTAGAGCAGTTTTTCAAGCATGACACTTTTAAAATATGTAATTTCAAAGACTTTTCAAGGCCACATGAAATTAGTTTTCATAGCCACTCCAGGTCTTGGGGGGAAAAGCTGAAAAGTACTTTTGTTTAGAAGTCTGAGTGATGGTGGGGGGGAAACCTTTTCTTGAGGTTTTTGCATGCCAGTGCACGGCCTATTGCTGTGAGAGAAGGAAGATGGTAAGGCTGCTTGAGGCAATGCACTGGAGGACAAAGTGTTTTCTAGCACTAGAAAAAGAAAATGCATGGCAAAGTTTTGTCTTCTAGTAGACTATATAGCATGCAGAGTTTAGTATGTGTCAAAACAGTGTATGACATTGCTGTATCAAAGTTGTAAAATTAAGCATTATTTATTGAAAACTATGTATTTTTTTTGTAAAAACCTGATCACCTAGAGGATTAATATCAGTGACTTGTGCTAGTGCTACAAACTTAACCAGCTTCTTTACTACAGTACTTGATATGCAGTGTTAATGCTCAGGGTTGAAACCAGTCCACTCCAATGTCTTTTTTTGCAAGAGTTTTTAAATAAAG